TAATTTTTGAGTCACACCCACCACTGACAATCACTACTTGTTCCCTTAATCTGCAAGAGGTTATTTACTCTCGGTTTAAGGATTCTGCATCCCCGAACAATCGTTAATTTATGTTCCCTACTATTATTTGGGAACACTCCGAAAATTTAATTTAAGATTAACTCCGAAATATTAACTAAAAGTCGGACCGATTCCAATAATTATTCCGCCAGGAAGTTGTAGCTCTTTCGGGAGCGGGATTTTTCAGACTGCCCTTTTTTTGGGAGGCTCCCCTATTTATTTTCACGAGGATTGGGAAATTGGTTGGAGTGGGAGAGGTGGTGTGATTGCCACCTCTTTGATTTTGGGTTTATTAACCTGGCCTTACTTGCTAGGAAAAATTGTGAGTTGCTAAATTTTGATTGCAATGGCCTCTGTGGAATGCAGCGTTGCACATTCCCCTGAGGTCATTGGCGGTTTTTTTGTGAGTTTCTCAACTTCCGTGGCGGTTTTTCATTGGCTCGGCTCTTATATTTCATATTTAATTTATTTATATTTTAATTGAATTATTGAAAATAATCTGGACATTACAGCCCCCGCGGAGAAAATTTTTCTTTTTGATAAGATTTTATCGGGAAATTAACATTTATTATTTTCAAACGTTTTCGGTTCGCGCATAAATTTTAAATTTGCGGGTGTCGGTAATTAGGTGTGTGACCTAATTAACATGGTCAACCGTGTCGGTAATTAGGTGTGTGACCCAATTAGCACGGTCAACCGTGTCGGTAAGTAAGGGGTGTGACCCAATTAATATGGTAATTACGGCCGGCAGAGGCACTGGGTCACTGGACTGAGTGGGTGGTCATCCGTGTAGGTAATTAGGGGTGTGACCTAATTAGCATGGTCAACCGTGTCGGTAATTAGGTCGTGTGGCCTAATTAGTATGTTAATGTGGCCGGTAGAGCCATGGTAATTAGGTCAGTTGTCTAGGGTGAGGTGTTAATCTGTCACCCATCTTATTGCCGGTCTTGGTGGAGTGACAGGTGGTGCATTGTTTTCGTGATATTTTGTGTTTTTAGAAGGTGAAAGAAGAGAAGAAGGTTTTGATATTAAGGTAATTATGGTTTTAACTGTTTCGTTAATTAGTTGGTCGGGTCATGAGGTAATTTTCGTTCTGATGGTTTTTGTTTTTTAGATGAGAGGTTCCAAACGCGAGTGGCAGAAGATGTTTGGGCGTCAGCCCAGGGTGAATTTGTTCCGTTCTGACAGTGGTGTTCCCCTGGAGTTGGTGGAGTATGTGGGGTTAGTGTTGGGTCCTGATCCTGACTATCGTGGGCTGGCCAGACTCCTCGATGGACGGTTCTTTGGTGGGCGGCTCCATAGCTATACGGTGTGGCGCACAAAGGATCATCGGAGTTGCTTCGGTTTTACTGATTTGCTGCGGAAGAAGATTTTCCTGCAGGAGTGTCTGTTTTCCGCAGGAATCAGTAGAACCTGGCTGGTGCGCGTTTTGCTCCATGAGCTGTGTCACGCTCATGTGGACATGCAGGGTGGGGACCGGAATCAGAATGCGTCTCATGGCCCGAACTGGAGAGCGGAGGTGGCCCGGGTAAACGGGGCAGTCCGGTTTGATATTGAGGATGGTCGGGATGTAGATTGGCGGAAGCTCCGAGAGTTTGGGCTGGACGTCCTGTTCCGGTGTGTTAAGTGTGGACGGAAGCAGGTTCGGGGGATCAGGAGGCCCCCTGATGCCATTTCTTACTCGTGGTTCCCTAGCCATGAGAAGCGTTGTGGAGGTACATTTGTTGAGGTGTAAGTATAGTTTATTTGTTATAATTTATTTTAGTAAATTAGTTTATTTGTCATAATTTATTTTAGTAAGTTAGTTTATTTAATTCCGGTTTTCTTTTCTGTTCATAGGCCCTACGAGAGATGGAATGAGGATTAGTTTTTAGTGTTATTAGTGTTTAGTTTTTCTTTATAAGTTTTTTCTTATTTTTACTGTTAGTATTACTAGTATTCAGTATTTTATATTGTGGTATTGTTAGTATTTAGGTTTTTTTTCATATTTTATATTTTGTTATTGGGTTTTTTATATTTTTTTCTCTTTCCCCTTTTTTTTCCTTTTTAATAAATTTAAATTTTTACGTTGGTAAATCTGTGTTTTTTTTTTGTGTAAATGTTGGTGTTTTTTTGTGGGGGCCAGTGGTGGGCGGCGTGTTGAGGGTGGCATCGCGTTTTCCTAGGGGAAGGGGGTGTCAAACCCAAAAATAATTTCCGAACTTTTACGTTCCATGGGGTTAGGGCTTTCTTTTGAGCTGGGTAAATTTTTAATTTAGTTTGATCCAGGTGAGTAGTGGCGTGAATTTAGTTAGCGCGGCGTTAGTCCATTCGGTCAGAAAGGGTTGGCATCACCTTTTCTAGGGGAAGGGGATGTCAAACCCAAAAATAATTTCCGAACTTTTAGCTTCTGAGGGTCAGGGTTCCCTGTTAGGTTAGTTAGATTTCGATTTTGATGTAGTTCAGATGAGTTATTTTGGTAGGATTTTAGCATTGGTGTTATTCCGTAGCTCCGCGTGGGTGGCATCGCGGTTTTCTAAGGGAAGGGGATGTCAAACATACAAATAATTTGCGAACGTTTAGATTCTAAGGGTTAGGGCTCTCCTTTAAATTGATCAAATTTCGAATTTTTGTGACCTTGGTCCTCTGTCGGGCGTTTTTTTTTTGCATTTTCGGGGCTACGCATCGTACATGTGTTCTACGTACAAATATATAGATATATATTTCTTCAATATATGTCTATATATCTGTTTCCAAATGATAGCCTTTGGATAATAATTTTTTAATACTTGGTGAAAGTTTAATAAGTGGAGTATGGTTAGCGTTATTGGGAGAGCTCTGTTTGTTTTCTGATGTTGGTAGTGCTAGTCATCTTGGTATTGTTGACAGGGTTCATTCTGGCATGGAGATGGTATGGATTGGTTCTTCCTGGAGCCCTCGGGGGTGGGCTCGTCGGGCAACTGCTCTTACGGGTTGCTGTTTTGCTCTTTTGGGTTTTCGACAGCAGCAGGTGAGAATGTTGAGGATAGTGAATCCTTTTTTGTAGGCGCCGTACCCTACAGCGGCCATTACGAGTGTAAGCACCAGGGTGATGGTGCCGTTGGTTGCTGTGAAGATTCTATGTTAATAAGTCTCTTGATGGTGTAGGCCGATTTTTTCTGCTTCGTCAATGGTTTGTTGCAGAGAGTCGTCAAATAGGTGATCCTTGGTCATGTCGGGTAACACGTACTGTTTCAAAGTTGACATAGGGCTCAGAGGTTTAGGTAGGCCGCTTAGGATTGGTGCTATTTCTGAGATGTTGATTGTTTTAGATATTCCGAGGATCACTGGAAGTTGGTATTCCACCAGTCCTGCGCCCTCAAGGATAGTCGTGGAAGTCTCAGCTGTGCAGTTCGGGTTGAGATGAAGCATCCCTGATCCGTTTAATATCACGCTATCTGCGGGTTGGTTATGGCAGGTAATTTCGAGTCTTTCTGGCTCGATGGTTGAGTATAACCATCCCTTGCTGCTGATGAGTCGTGTCCATTGGCTTTCTATATTATTTGTGATCTTCACGTTGCAATCCTGGTAGATTTTCGGCGTTAATTCCACATCTGTGTTGGTGAGTAAACGATATTCGCAGCAGTTGCGGCTGCCGGCTTTCCTCAGTGGTATTCCCTTTTGACAGGTTAGGCATTGTTCCAGTGGAATGCAGGTTTTTAGGTAATCCTCGTCGAAGTGGGTGTAATAGGTGCCATGTTGGGAGAGTGCGATGTATTTGTTAGTTGGTTCAATGTAGGCGGCAACGCTCCGGTTTTCTTGGATTTTCTGTGGGACCTTGCAGGGGACCATTTTGTATAGTTCCATTTGGTTCCTAGAGATGAGTGGTATCTCGATTATGATTAGAAATTTTTGTAGTGGTATGCCGTTTGTACATCACTGATTTGGCTCAGCAATGCCAGGTCGATTTTCTCCCTTGCTATTGGAAAAACTGTATCAGGTGTTGACCTCTCGATCTCTTCTGTTACCCTCGTCAGTTGATTGGTGTTGATGAGGAGAAGGTTCAGGATACCGTGTCTAGCATCTCTATGACTGCCACAGTTTTGGTCGCGGTTGCAACGTATGTTCGAGCTCCATATTCTGCTTCCTTGGCGATGTTCATGAGATGTTCGAGATGTTCAGTGTTGTTCAATTGTTGCAGGAATCTGTTGGATTGGGTTATTATTTTTCTCATTTCCTCTTCCGTTCTCCGTATCCTTAGGGTGGAATTCTCATGATTCATCTTCATAGTGTTGATCTCTGCCTGGATTATATGGGTTGCGTTTCCAATGAGATGTGTGATCTTCCTCTGGTCATTGTATATATTGTCAATTTCTTTTGTGATATGTTCGTGGTCATTGTAGTCCATGATGCCGAATAGCTTTCTGCTTATTGAACCGATGAATCCTAGGAGGGGGGATCTTCTTGGACGGTCATGGATGTGTTCTTGTGGTGCCTCCAGGATTTTTGCGAGATGTCCCTGCGCGTGTCTCAGTTCCCTGTTATAATCATTCATGATGGCGATCCCTAATGCCTTGTGGCATTCTGTCTCAGGTCTTAATTGCCGGCATTCCTGCAAGAGTCCGTCAACTAACTGTGTTCCTGGTAGGGACAGTCCTGTTAGACTTGCTAGGTCGATGGTAATTAAGAGGCGCCAGTTATTATTGATCATGCGGATTTGGTCAATTTTTTCGTAATACAGGCCTGGATTATGGGGAATTGGATGTAGCTGGTATATTCCAGAGCCTTCTGATTTTTGTGTACTTATGGTCCATTGCAGTATTATCCATAGGATGGTACTGGAATATTTCATGATGATGTTGTGTTCCTGTTGGAGAAGGAGGAATGGAATTTTGTAGGATTACATACTCTTAAATTTTTAATGGGGTTCAGCGGATAGCTGTGGTTCAATATGGCTTTGAGCTTAGTGCTTTGTTAGCCGGTTACTGATGGAGCTCAGATCCCAACTTCGCTAGCTCATCCGCTCGTTCGTTGCCATGTATTCCCTTGTGTCCTGGTATGTAGGTCAGTTGGACATCTAGCTGCTGCATTAGTTGGTCTAGCTGTTGTAACAGTTGCTGGTTTACTACTGGTTTGCCCTTGGAGGTTAGCCATCCGTTAGCTTTCCATTTCGGCAGGTGTTGAGTCATGGAGCTGGTCAGATATTTAGAGTCCGTGAGGATGGTGATTCTTTGAATGTCATGTGTTAGGCAAATTTTGCATGCTTCAACGGCGGCAGCCGTCTCAGCGATGATGTTTGTGGCTCGTGTTCCGTCCAGAGTTTTGTAGGTATTCAAGGGGTGTTTTTCCCCGAACCAGATTCCGATTCCGGCCTTAGCTCTAACATCGCCGTTGAATGAGTAGGATCCATCTACATAAACGGGAATTCTTCCTTCCATTCCCTGCAACAGGTTCCTTGGTAGTGATAGTATACCTAGTTATTGGCAGCACCGGTGGTATGTTAATCTTCGCAAGGCTTTAATTTGTTAGGGTGTTTCATAAAACGGTGTCCATCTTCGCTTTCTAGATAGACGTTCCCCTTCTCGGTTATGTCCACTATTTCATAGGGGCCTGTGTATGCCTGGTCTAATTTTCCCAACTTCGGTTCCTTTTGCACATAGGCAAACTGTCCAATTTTTAACTCTAATGGTCGTGCATCTCTACCATACAGTTGTTTGGAGTGAAGTTTTGCTTGCTGGAGGTGTTGGTAGGCTAGCTCCTGGATTTTCTCCATTTTGGACATCAGGTCTATTACATAGTCGTTGTAAGTTTCATTGCCATGATCTTCTCGAATATTTGAAGGTAGCCGAACTTTCTTTCCATACGGCAATTCGAATGGTGTGAATTGTGTGGCACTGTGTACGGTGGTGTTGTAGGACAATATCGCAAATGGTAACAGTTCATCCCATTAATTGGTCTCGTTGGCAAACGCCTTCAAGTATTCCACTAGAGTGTGATGGCTTCTTTCGAGGGCGCCGTTGGACTGGGGTCGGTACCCTGATGTGGTCACATGATGGAATCGTAACAGTTTTCCCAGGTGGTAAAATAGTTTGCTGAGGAAACTAGTTCCCTTATCTGAGAGTATGATTCTGGGACAGCCGTATAGAGCGACATACTGCGTCACCAGGGCGTGGGCAATGGTCTGTGCCTTAATATCTCTTAACTGAATGGCGGTACAGTGTTTCGCGAAGTTATCTTGGATGGTGAGGATATGTACATGTCCTGCTGAAGTTGGAGGAAGAGGTCCTACGGTATCGATGGATATTCGTTCGAAGCATTCGCTTGGTGTTTCTGTTATTAGCATTGGCTGTTTGAATTTTATTCGCCTGATCTTCTGCAGCTGACAGATGCGGCATTTTTTTACCATTCGTTCGATTTCCTGTTTCATTCCGGGCCAGTAGAATCTTTCTCTCACCCTGTGGAAGGTAGTGACTATTCCTTTTTGTCCTCCCGGAAGTGTTTCATGACATTCCCGAATGATTTCGGGTCTCAGTGCCTCGGGGGGCATTCGAACGTTGCCGTGACACAAGGTGATAGTCACAGCGTGAGCTTGGAATTCTTGTTCTAGGTAATATCTGATCCTGATGTCCTCGTCGATTTCGTCTCCCTTCATCGCCATCTTCAACTCCTTGACCTCATATTTCTCAATTGCTGTTTTTAAATTACGCAGGCAGAGTTTTATGATTCTGTTCTGAGTTTTATCGAAATGGTATCTTTTTACAATGAGGGTGAAGGTTCTGAATTTACCAGATTTGTTGACGATGACTCGTCCCAATTGAGGATTCAATTTCTTGATGTAGTCTAGGTGAATC